AAATGAATACATATATAAAATGCCAACTATATAAAAGCAAGCATTCAAAAAAATAAGAGGTGAATTGTTAAGGCCATATGCGTACATAAATATTAAATTTATACAAAGAAGGCAATGAGAAGTAAAAAAGGAAAAAAAATCAGATTGTGGGGGGTGGTTACCCTAGGAGACCAAGGTTAATGATGAAATAAAGAGTACTGAAGGGGCTTCAATGATATCAGAGATGTTATACTTCGTAAGATGGGTTTTTCCTTCATTATTCTTTATATTTTGTATGTTATATGTTCTTTTATATTCAATTTGTTTATGATATTAAAAAAATGAAATTATAATACAAAAAGTATATATCCCTTCAATTCAGAGTGAGGTAGAAAATGTTGATATTCTCTCCTCAGGAATTTTAGCTTAGTACTTAATAATATTTAGAAATTCTCCAGCATTGGGACAAATTACTAATTCTTCAGTTGAGCCCCTAAAGAAGTATTTGATTTACTTTTTGAGGCCATCTTGTATAAATATATACACCTTAAAAAATTTAATTTTTTTTTGAGTTGCTTATACGATAAAGCACTTTGGAACTGAGACCAGCAAAACAAATGGCAGATTAAACATTCTACATACTCAGAGGTGGATTCATGCTCGTCAATTAGCTGAGTAGAAAAGCAAACAAACAAACCAACCAACCAAAAGACTAATTGAAATTTTTCTGTTTTCTATTAATGTTGACCATATACAGATAAATTTGAATAAATAAAATATGTGTTTTGCAACTCTACACATATTACAAAAGAACATTATTGATGCCTCTTTCTAAATAACTTTCTCCTCAAACTGAGTTAAGTTTCAACTCAGTTTACGCGCTCTATCCCAAATAGTGCAGAGAGTACTTCAGTGGCAGTAAAGTAAGATGATAGGGATACAGAAATCAGATATAGGAACAAAAGAACAGGATAAAGACCTAGATGAGGGAGTAGGATATACTAACCTTCATCTCCCCAGAAATAACAACTAGCTATCCAAGAAATAAAATAGCCTTGAGAGGGCTCAAGAGCCCAATTAAGAACATACAGCAACACAATGGAGCCAGAAATGGAGACTAACTATACAGAAAGGATTGTGGAGCTCAGCTTAGCTGAGACATCCAGAAATGGTTAGGAACCAAGAAGAAAGGTGGAGGCTATTAGTATCAACCATGCAGTAGGTGTCACTGTGGTTCCCAGTGGCCAACTCTGTGGAGGACTCTAGCTGTCTTTGCCATGGAGGGCCTCAGCCACAGACTCCCTGCAGCTTTCACAGTGGAAACCCCATAATGTTCATTGGCACAAACTTCAATGGCCTGATCATCAGAGGACACCAGCAGCTTTCACCACTGAGGTAATCAAAAGCTATCACTGCCACAAATTCCTAGGAGAGGGAGATGCTGCTGTGCCCTCTTCCACCAGAAAGAGCTACTATTTCACAATCCATAGGACCAGGGCTGCCACCACCCCCCATCCATGCACATTCTTGACCTTTGAGCCATGGCTGCCCTACATGTACCCACAGTTTAGACCCGGATATAGTTGTCGCTTTGTGTTTGCCTGTGGCTTAGGCACTGGAGTCACTGCTGCTGTGGGCTTGCCAGAGCCCTGGACCTCAGGAGCCACTGTCACTCTGTAAGTGCCTATATATACTCTAGACCCTGGCTTTGTGATTGCTCTAAGAGTGCCATGCATCAGATACCAATATCACCACCGCTGCAAGGGTGCTGCAAGCTGACCAGGAACTAAGATCTGTCCTTGGCCACAATATCGCCCGTGGGAGAAAAAGAAACAGGAAGTTCCCAGAAGCCTTTGCTCTGAACCCAACAGCCCTCACTACCACTGCATACCCCACAGCCTTCGCCTCTGAGGACCCCTGCAATCTTATATGAGACAAAATGGACATGTCAAAAACTATAAGTAAACAAAGAGGTTCACTGTATAATGGGTTTCAATTCATCAAGAGACTAAACAATTATCTGTGCATGCACCCAGCATTGGAACCCCTATATTGAGCAAATTTTAACATACCTGAAGGCAGAAATGCATAGCAATGCAATAGTAGTAGATGTCAATACCCCGCTTTAAATAGTGGATATCTCTTTCAGAAAGAAAATCAATGAGGAAATGTTGGATGTGAACTACACTTTAGACGAAATGGACCTAATAGACGTATACTAAACATTACATCCAACAGCAGCAGAATACTCATTCTTAAGCACACAGGGAACATCTCCATTATAGATCATACGTTAAGGCACAAAACAAGTCTTGAGAAATTTAAAAAGTTTGAAATCATACCAAATATCTTTTCTTTTTTTAAAAGATTTTATTTATTAGAGGGTGCATGAGCTGGGTGCGGGAGCAGAAGCACCATTCACAAAAAATTAACTTGAAACCGATTAAAGACTTAAATGTAAAACTGAAACTGCAGTACTCCTAGAAGAAGTAACAAAGGGAAAGAAAACAAAAGGGAATATTTCTTGACATTGGTCCTTGCAGTTACTTTTTTTTTTTTTTACTAATATGACAACAAAAGCCCAGGCAACAAAGCAAAAATAAACAAGTGAGACTATATCAAACTAAAGAGCTTCTGCACAGCAAAGGAAACAGCATGAAAATGAAAAGAACGCGTGGAATGAGAGAAAATACTTACACAACATATGTTTGACAAGGGGTTCATATTTGTAATATATAAGGAACTTACACAATTCAGTAGCAAAAAATCACAAATAGTCCAATTAAAAAATGGGTAAAGGACCTAAATAGACTTTTCTCCAAAAAGGATGCCCAGATGACCAACTGATACGTGAAAGGTGCTCAACATCGCTAATCATCAGGGAATACAAAGCAAAACCACAATGAGATATCACCTTAAACCTGTTAGGATGTCTATTATTAAAAAAAAAAAAAAAAAGAAAGAAAGCAAAAGCAAAAGAGAACAACAAAAACAACATGTTGGTAAGGATACGAAGAAAAGATAACCTTTGTTAGTGGGAATCTAAACTGGTACAGCCATTATGGAAAACAGTATAGATGTTCCTCAAAAAATTAAAACCAGAACTGCCATATGATCCAGCAACCCACTTCTGGGTGTATATCCAAAGGAAATGGAATCAGAAGAGATATTTGCACTCATGTTCATTGCAGCATTATTCACAATAGCCAAAGTATGAAAACAACCTAAGTGCTCATGGATGAATGAATGGATAAAGAAAATGTGGGATAGATGTGCAGTGGAATATTAGTCAACCTTAAAACATCCTTCTTTGATAGCATAGATATCTCAGAGGATAAGTGCAATAAGACAGAGACTGAGAAAGACAGATACTGATAGTATCACTTACATGTGTACTCTAAAAAACAAACAAAAAAACTCAGAGTAACAGAATAGAATCATAGTTGCCAATGGACTGGGAGTGAGGCAAAGAGGAGATGTTGGTCAAGGAGATACAAGCCTTCAGTTATAAGATGAATAATTTCTGAGGATCTACTGAGGACCTACTGTATGGTGACTATAGTTAATAATACTGCATTGTATACTTCAAATTTGCTAAGAGAGTAGATCTTAAATGTTTTCAACACACACAACACACACATAAAGGTAATGGATATGTTAATTAGATTGTCATAATTTCATAATGTGCATGTATATCAAATGATACTGTACACTTTAAATATATATATAATTTCATTTGTCAGTTTTACAAAAAGCCTCCCCTGCCAAACACACACACACACACACACAGACATATACACACAGAAGGCAGACCAGTGTTACTCAGAATAAAAAGTGAAATTCTTTCAATCAGCTCTTTCACAAAACTTAACTTGACCAATTGATAATTGGTCAAACCACATATTTAAAAAAATTAAAATAACCTTGGAAAAAATTGGGAAATTATTTATTGTTGCATCTTTTTGTATAGATCAGCTTTTAGCTGTGTCAAGAGCCCTACCTTTTGTCTCCAGTAATGCTTTTCTATATTATTATATATGTATTTTTTTTCTGATGTGTGTATTCCATATTCCTTTTCCAGATGTGTTTCATTTGGGGGTTATTGAATAAACAGGGTCCTAAATGAATCAAGTATGTGTGAGAAAAATAATGTGATGAACCGAAATAAAAATAGTATCCCACTTAGGTAATATCTGTTTGGCAATATTTTGGATAACAATAAAATTCTTACAAGAAGATACCTTTTTGCCAAAGAGGAAACTGGTCCCTTTGCATCCCAGACCAAAACAAACTTTACTGGATTATTATTTTTAAATTTCACATATCTTATTTTGTTCTGGGTTCTGCACATATTTTTTTTACAGATTTTTTTTGGCTTCTAGGATGTCATAAGCAAAAATAGTATCACTGGATTTTGGAACAGGTATAGGAATAAATATATAGACTACAGCAAGCACACACAAATTTAATTTCTTACTGATTTGATAATCTGTGGTTGGTTTTACTGCGATATACTAATTTTATTGAATATCGCTGTGCTCATAGGATCATGAAATTTGGCATGTAATTTGTATCAAAAGTGTTCTTTCTGTATCATTTTAAAGAGCAATAGCTATATATTAATCACATAACTCTATATGGAATCATATTAACTGCAATACAAAATGTCTCCACCAGCATGACTCCTAGCTTTGGAACGGAGTTTTAAATGGATTGTGTTGATGTCCATAGAAAGATCAGAACTAATAAAAGAACTAATTGGCATTAAGCCCTCTCTTCTCTGCAATCCCCTAGTACTTTATTAGTTCTTAATTTAAGAACTTAATTCATTCTGCTTTGATTTAGTGTAATTTGTCTGTAGGCTCATCACCTCCCACGAACTGTGAGTTTCTTGTATAGTGTCCTGTCCCATTCATCTTTCATATCCCACATCTATTAATAATTGTTCATATATTAAATGGTTAACTCAACAGAATATTTTTTTCCTTTTTCTTAGAGTGTGCTTTTTAAATTTCTTCCAGAAATTTGGTACAACTGTATAAAAGTGAGGATGACACAGAAATTTCAAAGAAGATTAAGACTGACTGGACTTCTTTGGGCCTAGAAGAGGTACAGTTTGTAAATTACTCCGTGCTGCTTCATCTGGCAGGCCCGTCTGCCAGCTCTGTGATTCTGGGTAGCAGCGGCCAATGCTTTCGTCCTAATGGCCAGCCCTGCAGCGAAGAAGCCAGAACACATAGCAGCCAAGATCTGCTTTACTCATATGCAGCCTATTCTGCCAAAGGAACTCTCGAGGTAATATGGCCATTTGTCTCTGTCATTTATAGTGAAATGGAATTAGAAAACAACAGCTTTCATCTAAATTGAACTAACTGGCAAGATGCAACATAAAAAAGTGACCATTAAATGTTCTCAGTGTGGAGGTGCCAGGGAAGGGGAAGGAAGACTTGGATTGCCTGACCTTTTTTCTTGTCATATTTTGAAAGTGAAAACATGTAGAAGAATTTAATTCAAAAGTGTTGAATGTGTGACTGAGTTACTCACATTTTGCTTACGACGCGTTCATTTTATTTTGGGGGGTTTTGAAGAGGCAAATTTTAATGGATTGATATGGGCAGAAGGAAGAAATGGAGGGAGTTGTGTTTTGAGTTGTGTACACACACAAGAAATGAAGTGGAAAATCGATGTGATTATCCACAGATTTAAGATTTGAAATACAGTGCTTCTGCTTTCTTGATGGAAAACATGGGAGATAAGGAGCCAGGTGTAGACTATTGCTTTACTTTTTCTGCTTAGCTAGTTTTTTTGGCTCGGTGCTGAAGCATGTGCCTTCCAGAGTCACACAGACGAGTTTCAAATCTCAGTTCCCTAATTACCCACTCTTACTTAGCCATCTAGGGCCGAGTTCCCTCATCTCTGTGATGGGGATAAAAATAGTTCCAACTTTATAAGGCTGTTGTGAAAATTAAACTAGCTAATATATGGAAACCTGGGAGAACAGAGCCTAGCCCACAGTAAGGACAAAATACCAGTTAGATATAATATATAATTGGTCCTGTTTCCTTCATATAGGAACATTTTCTGTCTCCATGTAAAAATACCATTTTAATAAACAAATTTAGTTTTTTTTACAAACCTTTAGATTGCCTCATTTAATACAAATGAAATAATTATGTTTCTGATTGTTGTTAATTATTGGCAGAGCTTTTTCAGAATCTATTAACTCTGATTAATACATTAAATATTTAAATCATTTGAAGTTACTTCACAGATACGCTCCTGATTTTTGTTTTTTGTTTGTTTGTTTTTCATTTTGGGGGAGAGGGTGGAGAGAGAGTTCTTTTACTGGTGCTTCAGCATTGTTTGCACTCTGTTACATCATTCTCTGACTTTTAGCAGAAGGACTGCATGTCACCACTACCATAGAAAGCCTTATGATTAATTAAAAGTTAATATAATAGTAAATGTCTGCAGTATTTCTAGGGTAGGACTCATGCAATTTGATTTGATTAATATATTCTGTTTATGGTAGGCAATGATGGGAGGGAGCCTGCCAGCACCCTTTTGTTGGTTCACAAGCTCTGGTCTCGAGTCAAGATTCTAAAGTTACCCCACATATTTTCTTCAGATTCCCAAACCTGCTTTAGCCCCCACACATTTCCAGTACCCTCTCTATCCCAGTTGATTCAGCAGAGTAATCTCCTTGCCTTGAAAACAAAACAAAACATGTCCAAAACCCAGAACAACAACAAAACCCCCAGGAGCCTGAGTGGGTCCTTGGAATCACCCCCATCTATTTGCTTTTCAATTTGCTCTGGCAGATTATTTACTATTCCTTTACCTAGGTGATATGAAAAAGCCGTAACATTACAACCTGTGTCCCCGTTTCCTCAGCAGGGCCCTCTGATAATCTGCTGGGCCGTTGGGCTGGTTTTTTGTGTTTCCTCGTAGCCACATCTCTAAGAGTTTTCTACACATTTATCTTATCAGTTAAAAATGCTTAAATTTTCATTGTTTCATATAAAAGAAACCAAGGTCTACTATAGAACCATGGAACTACTTAAATGCCCATGAAGACATAAGTCATTTTGGGACCATTTACCACTTATAAATGCTATAAAAACTACCATTTTTAAGAAAGAAGTATCGAGGGGCGCCTGGGTGGCTCAGTTGGTTAAGCAACTGCCTTCGGCTCAGGTCATGATCCTGGAGTCCCGGGATCGAGTCCTGCATCGGGCTCCCTGCTCGGCAGGGAGTCTGCTTCTCCCTCTGATCCTCCCCCTCTCATGCTCTCTGTCTCCCATTCTCTCTCTCAGATAAATAAATAAATAAATTAATTAATTAATTAATTAATTAAAAAATAAAAATAAAAATAAAAAAAAGAAAGAAGTATCGAGAAAGATTTGAAGAAGCTTTTAAAAGGGAAAAATAAGCTTTGCTGTCAATGTAGAAATATACTCTATGTTTGAAATACAGACCTAAATAAAAGGGAGTAGTGTTAAAGGAATTAAAATGCAATTATGGATAAAACAAACACCTTGTATTTGGAGAACATAATTTGAGAAATTAACCATGCAAATTAGATGAAGACACTAATGATAACTATTTTTAGAATTATATTTAATAATTCAAATCTATTATACTAAGTACATAATAATTTAAATATTTATATCAATAAATTCATCAATGCTGATTTTTTTAAAACTTAAACAATATTAGCATTATGATTTTCAAAAGCAAAGCAATTTCTAGGTGACTATTTTATATGCATATAGAATATTTGCATATATTTTCTATACATATTTTAGACCGATGTATTATTGAAACTCACATATTCTAATTAATAGATTGTGGGTGATTTTCTGTATCTCTTCAGACCACTCTTAATTAAAATCAAGTTTGAGAGGTTGCTGCTGATGATTCAGGCATACCTACTTTTTGATTTTGAGTACATTGTATTTGCATGAATTTCTATCAGGCTGAGCCATTAACAAGTTCTTAAATTATTCTAGTCTGACTGCCAGCAAAGCTCCCCACTACTTTTGCTTTTGACAAGGTTATTTGTAGAAGAGGAGTGCCCCTTTCCTTTGAAGAGCTGTCATGTCCATTCATCATATGACCACTTTGTATAACTTCCAGTTGTTGCTTTTTGGTAACAGTCTAAACAGCATTTGTGATATCTGAGACCTACTTCGAAAACCTACTTAGTGCCAGCATGATGGATGGTGTACTTTGCAACTTCTTTGTAATTCATTGTGTGCTAGAAAGGTGACATTGTTTACCCCATCATAATGACAGATGGGTCAGTAGAGGGGTCCTAAGGAAAGTTGTCCTGTCAGATGCAAAATACATATTAAAATGGATACATAAATAATTTAATGTGAGTGAGGTTAGCTTCAGGGAATAAACAGTGATTTATATTTTTATTAAAAGATAAATATCAAATATAATACCATCATACTGTTAAAGACATTGGTAGTGAGTGCTGACAATGTCTAGTCAGTTTTATAAATAGAATATATGGCCTTAAGTAATTCCTGTGCAATTACTTCTTTTGTCCTTTGTGAAACCCATGCAGATGCAGAAAAGCAAAGGAAACAATTAATATTTAATATAGGTTGGTGAGATTTGAGTCTATTGTGTTTATATTTTTGAACAGAGAATTTGTTTTTACTTTAATACACTTCATAGATTTGGGAATTTTCTTTCTGTTAAGTATTATTTTGCGTCTGAAAGTAAAAACAAATAATGCAATTTTATGGAGAAACTTATTTTCAGCAACCCATTAGCCATGCATTAAGATAGGTTGTCATCAACACATTTATCACTGCCCCGTGCCTCAGAGAGCCCAGAGTTGCATCCTGCCTTATTAGCTGCACAACGGTGGGTTGCTCATTTTGGTTCTCTAAGTCTCAGTGTTCTTATCTGTATAGGGGAACAATAACAGTACCTCAACTCGTTGTTGTAGGAACAAAATGATGCAAATCATGTAGAGTGCATTGAGTGCACTTAGCACTCTGAAAGTGTTAGCTGTTGTTATTATGTGGTATAAAATAAACACATTTAAATGGGAGAAATTAAAATATGAGAACTATTTATCATGATTTGGAAGTACAAACTTTTTATCATATTGTCTGAGTGTAATCTTCCTGTCTTCTGCTTAATATGACAAATATTAATCATTAGGGAGGAAAATGCCTTGTTAAGTATGAATAAATAAAAATACATATAACATCTGATCCAATTTTTAATTTAAAACTAAAGGCTCAAAGAAACTAGGAGTGAATATTTTATTTTTGAATGCAGAATGACAAATCATGTCCACTTGGGCCTGAAAAGCATTGTTTGTCTTCATCTTGTAAAATATCAAGCCATAGTGTAACACATGAAATCTAAACACTGTGTTGAATTGTATCAAGTAGTCTTAAAGAGAAAAAATATAACCACTGCATGGAATCCTTGGGGAACTTACAATCAGATGTGGATTTTCTCATAGCTAGGAAAACTTTGTCCTTCTCTTTTAATATTCTCAAACAAAAACAAACTTATCGAGTGTTATGGCAAAAGGCAGAGATGTATACATTTGGCTGTGAATGCTTCCTGTTATAGATAAGAAAATGATCAGAAAGCTAAATAAAGGAATAGAATGGAATTGCATTATTTAAACTTTTGTTGTCTGGGTAAGATGAAGCTACTGTCTCACCAACAGAAAAATGTGAGCTTGGTGCAAGCAGTTTTTTAATGTTGAAAATGACTTTGCATTTTATTTGTCTCCCTTCTTTTCTCTTGTGGAATCCATCTTTTGGTCGGCAGTGCACAATTGTGAGATAAATGGCTGTGAGCACATTTGTATATAATATTGTTACCTTTTAAAAATCTGCATAAAATTTCTTGGCCCAATATGACATTTTCCTTCTGGTTTCGTGAGCTTTGTGCACGAACCAACTTAGTTAAGAAAACAGTTCCATAATTGCTGCTTTTTTACTTGAACATAATAACCATGGGGTTAATTTCCACATATTTAAAGTACATATTTTTCCTGTATTTAAAAATTAGACAGAAGCATTTACAAATACAGAAGTGACCTATCACAACATGTTGTCTGGAGTTAAATCGTTTGTCAGAGAGGTTACATCTACCTGGGAAAGAGAACAAAAGCCTATTTTATGAAATAAAAGTTTTGAAACAAAGATAGCTGAATTCAGCTAAGTGGTTAAAGTGCAATGAATTTTCTTTTCCTCTTCATTAAAACAAATATGGCATTTTTAGTGAGAAAGTATTTGACTACAAAGTTC